GACGTGTGCTCTTCCGATCTGTACGTATGCCATCTTTTTAGCTGCCTGTACTAATATATATGCAGCTTTTAATTTTAGTTAATAAATTTTTTGTCACAGTGAATGTTTTTTATCTGTATAATAGCCAGAACTTAGCAATGACACTAAGGCGGTAGCTCTTATAGCTATAAAGTTTGATTCAGCCATTGAAATTTAGCTGCTATTATATTAAGTCATTTTTTTTGCGTGTATGTACAAGGCATTTAATTTTTCAATTTTTATTGTATGTATAAGTATATATAAAATTGCGATCTTTTATCCTAAAAATGTACGGATAATTATATAATTTAAAAAATGCATTGAAATAATTTTAACTCATAGCTTGGCGCGATCATTTCTTTTTCGAGTTATTCTGCCGTCGCAAAATCGTGTGCGATTATCGTTGAAAATTTTATACGAAATATCGCCATCATAATTTACCGTGCTTCTTCAATCAGAAGTACTTTTTGTGTATGCGTAAAAATATTACTGAAATGTAGTAGTGCCACTGCTATACATTTCAATAGTATTTTTATTGCACTAATAGTTTATTTTTACGCTTGGTATGTATGAAATAAAAGAATCTATAAAAGCAGGAATAAGTCACCGGACAACAACGCTCGACAGATCAACCATCATCAGGTAATTTTTACTTTTACTTGTATAATTCTTTTCGGAAGTTATGTAATTTTTTTTAATATAATCATCATTGCATTATTATGAGATTTATTAATTTACAAAGCATTCTTTTAAAATTTGCGTATACTCTATATATTCGTAAATATACTGGATTACAATTTACGGTAACAATTCATTAAAGAATATCCAAAATGCAATGAATAAATTATTTAGAGTTTATTTCAGAACATGTGAACTATAATTGTTAAGTGTTCGGATATTTTTAGATGTCGTCCCTTCCAACCCTCGTAAAAAAGAACTACTAGTGCAGTGATAACACTACTGAAATGTTTTTTTTTACTAGGGAAGGGTACTCGACCTTGTCATAGTGGAAGAGCTCAGTACCCCGAGGATTTAAAATTAATTATATACTAGTTAATTAATTAATTCTAAGTCTAAAACCGGGAAAGCTAACCGAGTACCCATTGCACTCAGTGAGAAATGATCACCAATTCGATACAGCTGGCAAATTGAAGGTCATTTTTCACTGGGTTCCCAGACAGCACAGATAATGAAAAAAGGACTCAGTTATATGTCACTAATTCTGAGTTAATTTTCAGATTCAAAAAGAATTCTTTTTTTAAAACGGACTGAATATATACTAAATTATAAACTGAATATATGCTAATGAATTCTTTTGGTTTATAATTCTATCTCTGTATAAATGCTCTGTGTGCTATCTGGGATTACCGTCGCCGATTGTATAAACGGTTCGTTGCGTCGAGAAATTTGTACATACAAAGAGTCGCGCGATTCGTAAATTTTTCGCGGATAAAGGTGTAACTATGACTCTCGCGGGAGTCCCGACTTGTTGCCTCTACAGGTTGATCTGATTTTACCGAATAAAATTTTAATTCATATTTAAAATGAAATCTAATCCATAATTAGGAAAACGCCAAGATTATCCAAAATGTATGTAATCTTAACGATATTCGATAAAAGCAAAACAACCTTATAAAAAGATAAGACGGTGCTTATTTATTTCGCAAATTTTTTTTGTATATAATACAATATAAACCTTCTATTTTTTTTATAAAATAAATTGTACATTATGAATTATGGTAATTGAATTGTAATGCTATATATTTGTAATAATATACACTTTTATTTGTAAATTTTATGGTTAGTATGAGATAAAATAAAAAATATAAAAAAGCACACATTCAAAAGAAAAGAGAACCGCCGATTAAAGTCAGCAGGGGTGGTGGAGGGCCTCTACAGATTGATCCATTTTTACTGGATAAAATTTTAGTTTTAGAGGTTTTAGAAAGTTTCAAATATAAAAATCAATATTTTAATCATAAAAGAATGCAAAGTCAAATTAATCCAAAATGTATTTAATTGAAATGATATTTAGTAAAAGTAAAGCAACCTTATTAAAGGTTAAGAGGACCGCCGATTAAAGTATGTGCAGGGGGAGAGCTTTTATAGATTGATTTGCTTTCTTCGAATAAATATTCAATAAAGGCGGAGCGACGAAAAATTTAGTTGGTCGAGTTAATAAGAAAAGATTAAGTTAATCACAGTACAGTTCAAATTTTATTTTTGAAATATACTGTATCAAATAATATCGTTGAGTGGCTGAAAACATAATGACCAATTCATAATGGCCAATTCATTTGACCTGTATCTTGATTTTCCAACTGATCATTTTCTGGTTCCAGAAAGCAGAAATATTGTACTTAAAAAGCCAAAAATTTGACATCCGAGAAAAGTTGTGATTGACTGAAGATTAAGAAGGTATATAGGAAGATAATTTAAAATACTCTTTGATATAATTAGAATAATAAGATTTAATATAACAATAACGTTTTATGAAAATACACATCTTATACATATGCACACATATAATTTAATACACATATTCTTACATATTTCATTTACACTCGCTTACTAAAAGATTGCGACACTTTCTTTTTTATAGGTTTCAAAACGCACTAATATTTTGCAAATGCGGACCACGATTGGTGTTATACTGCCTCTAGACTAAAGATAGTACATCGTGGTTGGCATTTGCAAAATATTAGTTATCTATAAAGTATACATTACGTATATTAAATATAAAGAAACCTATAAAAAAAAAGTGTCGCGCAATCTTTTAGTGAGCGAGTGTACATATAAACACGTACGTTTTTCACGTGTTTTACTTCAGGCTCGCATTGTTATTATATTTTAAATTCTCAAATTAAAAATATAACGTTTGTATAAAAAATTCTAATTGTAAGTTTAAATAAATACAGTCGAACATCGATAACTCAAATCTCAAAAGAAGGGAAAAATCATTCAAGTTATAGAGTTTTCGACTTATCAAAATTTGAGTAAAACAGTGTTAAAATATAAAAATTCGATTTAAGAAAAATTTGTTCAAGAAATTAAAATTTTGATTCGATTATAATGGCTTTTAAAGGAAAAAAATAAGATAATTTTTACGCAAGTTCCATTCAATTGTGCTGTGCAATAAAATGGCTGCGAGATCTTTATCTCAAAGCTAGCGAATACGTTGTTTTTCCGAAATGACTGGATCAAAAGGATTGAAATTTTTGCGATTAATTAGTTATTAAAAATGAGGTTATTTAGTTTTCGATGGTAAGAAGTTGCTTTTTTAGATTTAGTGCTTAGTTTGTTTAATTTACAAGGGAAAATAATAGAACGCTCGCATATGCGTCTCCTGCAAGTCTTCAAAGACACTGCTTTTTAAAAATTTTTAGTTTGCTTAATTTACAAGAAAAAAATATTATAACGCACGCATGTAAGCCCCCTGAGAGTTTTCGACGGTAAAACGTTGCTTTTTTTAAATATTTTTAGTTTGCTTAATTTACTAAAAATACAAATAGAACGCACGCATGTATGATTTTTACGAGTTTTGAATGGTAAAAATTTTTTTTGTTTAATATTTAGTTTGTTTCATTTACAAGGAAAAAAAATAGAACGCCCACGTACATATGTGCCTTCTGTGATTCTTCAAAAAAAGGACATTGCTTTTACAAAAATTTTTAGTTTGCTTAATTTACAAGAAAAAATTTAAAAAGTTAAAATAATTTTTGCAATTGTTGGACAATTTTTTTCAAATTTAATTTGGCAAATCAGCTATCAAAATGATTTGCCATATCATTGTGTTGAAATATTATTTTGAAATAACTTGCACAAACAGTTACCAATATTTTATAAAAGATTAGTACTATTACATCTGTTTTTGTAAACATATCTATATAATCGCAGAATATATTTTTTTTACAAGATTTCATCATAATCTTATAAATAATTTTCTATCGTTGTACTGCAATAACATACCAGGTGCAAT